TTTGATCAAAACAGCAGTGACTGTTACATTTTTTGCTGCTGTTTGTTGATTTCATCTGTAGCAGGTCATCCTCGCTGTTTCTCAGCATCATCTGGGCAGAGTTTTTAACGAATCTCCTCCGATCCTGCAGAGGACTTTGGTACTAGTCTCCTGCTCTCGCCAGTGCCAAACTCTATAAATTGATTTTTTTTTTTTCTTTTTTCCCCCTTTTCTCCCCCCTCCCCCCGCCAACACGCAGCAAGATTGTTCTAGGCTGTCAGGAAGTGTGTGGTTGCGGCACTTCGGTTGTATGTGAAGCAGTTATGTGAATCTCTCTTAAATGGGCAGCTGCTGCATAGCCGTCCACAACTGCAAGAGCCATAACGGCCCAGAGGTTGTTCCTGTTCCTGTGGACTCCACTGCTGAGCTCTCTCAAAAGCTCTGCTATAACTAATAAGAAATGTTCTTAGATGAGGTGTCTGAGAATTAAGTTAGAAAGCGGAAGGTGGTGTTTTTTTCAAGTGCTAGTTGGCATTCGGTAGATTAGAAATATTCCCCTATTCTGATATTTCATAGGTAAAATAAAGAAGTTAAGATTCTACTTTCCATTCAGCACTTAATTGCCCTTAGGACTCAAGGCGGGGAGATTTTCCAGTGGTAAACAGCCTTTCTAAGACACAATTAGCATTAATTAACATCCATGCTGGGAATTTAATCAGAAGCAGCAGATTAGTTCTGTTTTCTGAACCGTTTTTTCTCCCCTTGGATATGGCTGTTCTTGTGCAGGCTGGAAACCCGTGTTCGCAGCAAGGAGCTTGTCCTGCGGCTTACATCCCCCAGAGCTGTCACACAAACAGCATTCGCACATCAAAGACTTTTTAAAGAAGTAGAAAAGAACCTTTCTGATGGATCAGATGCTACAGGCTTCCCCTAGAACTGCAGCATTAAACTTCTGTGCTACAACCAAGTGACTTACAGCTTTCGCTGTTCCGAGTTTTACTTATTTTACTCACAATTAGAGCTTTTTGTTTGTATGGGTCACTGAATCGGTTTCCTTGAGGAATGATGTTTCAAAGCTACGTGGTGTAGGTTGAAACACTAGTAAAAGTACTTTACTTTAAAAAATTGTGATACCTAGTATAAATGTAAAAGTAGTAGGTAAAAAATAGGTCCCTGATGTTTTCCCCCAAATTGTTTGAAGGGTTACTTGTGGGTTAAATGCTTTTTTTATCACTTTGGTTATTTGCTGTTTGTTTAGTAGCTAGACAGAGTTCTGTTTACTTGCTAGGATATGCTCCAGTATTGCAATAGAAGCACTACAGAAAAAAATAAAATAATGTGAAAAGCACACACACACATACATATATATACACACACACGAAATATATATATTACAAAAATGTACAAACTGAAAGTGCTCTTTCAATGCACGAGGGATACAATTCCTATCTAGCAAGGCTACTCTTTCTGGTTTGATTTTTGGTTCTATAAACATTGATTAACTGACAGAATGGGGGTTTTTTTGTTCAGTTACTTGTTAGCCAGTTTTGTTTAAAGCTTGGGGCTATTTTGACTAAAATCAAGCTATAATCAAATGCTATATGGACTTCTACCATTTGTGATAGGAAAAAAAGCTCTGCTGGAATCTGGTTGGCACTTAAAGTTACGGAATTTTAAGCGCTTTAAGCTGAGCAGCTTTTAATAGGCATGCTTAAAGGGTGTTTTGTGTGTGTTTTTTGTTTGGTTTTTGTTTTCCTGGTATCATGCCTGTTGATTTGTGGCAAAGTACTGTATTTGGGTTAAGTTGTATAGACTGTAAATAATGTATGTTACATTTAGAGGATTGCAAGACTGTACCTGTTAGGAGTGTCTTTGTTTTTAAGTTTGTCATCGTTGTTCCTTTTTTTCCAGAAGTTTGGTGTCAATCAATCTAAGCCAGAATTTACAGTGGATCTCAAAGGGGCATTGATTGACTGGGCCTCAAAGGACAAATCCAGCAAAAAGAATGTTATTGAGGTGAATTATTTCATTTAAATGCAGAATTATATGTACTTTAATTAATGACTTAAGAAATTTTCTCTAAACTTAAAATCAAAACTTTTGGGTTTTCTACATTTCTTCCTGCTCAAATGTAGACCTATCTTAGTACTTGCAAGAAATGTCCATTTTTAATATGTCTGTATGGGATATGCTTTTAAATTTTACGCAGACTGTTATTTACTGTTTTCACTGGTAAGCGTTCTTCAGTGGCTATATATTATCTAAAAGTTATGCCAGGGAGAAGTTTAATTTGATTTAGGTAATTTCACTTTTGAATTCTAGTGTGTTTATCAATTTTGATGATATCTGTCTGTATTTCTTTAAAGCTAAAAACCCGCCAAGGAACTGAGCTCTTAATTCAATCTGATAATGACAGCTTTATTAATGAATGGTATAAAGTTCTTAACTATACCATCAACAATCAGGTATGTGTTTGAATCGTGAAGGCTGTATTTTCAAGGTAATGTTATTTAGTAAAATAACTGATGTAATGACTCCTAGTACAAGTACATCTTCATTTCCTGATTTTCTTGAGCATGGGCAGGAGGTTGAGGATATGGCAGTTCCTGGTGGTGACAAGTGAAATATAATTAATAGTGGCAAAGGAGGAAGGGTGGTCCACTGGATTAAGAACCAGGAGATGTGGGCTGACCTCCAGCTCAGAAATGAGCTTCCTTCTGTGGCCAAATACTTGTTCTGTCTCAGTCACCTGAAAGGTTCTGATAGAGAGGGAGTAAAGGGAGGAGGATGGCCAAAGGAGTGCTTCATGACATACATTAATCAGCATGTGATACTGCTATTCACTTAATAAGGCTGCTTGAAAGTGCAAATTAAAAGCCCTGGCAAAATACTGTATTACCTCTTCTTATCAGACAGCATAATGCCAACTGTTTAATCAACAGAAAAGTGATGAAGCATTTGCTTTTGATATTGCCAAACAAGATTTACCATCTTTGAATTCAGAAGAAGTTGGAGGAGATCTTGGAGAAAATATTCCTCTCGTATCAAGCTGATTTCATGTGTATTCTTAATTTTTATAGTTACAGGCCTGGCTGCTGCCCATAAGCTGCATTTATGTTGCTTTCAGTGTCCATCACTGGCCTTCATTTCTCTTAGCTCTGATAGTGTTTTCCACATATGGGTGTTTTCCATCCAAACATAGCAGGCTAGTATGAATAGCTTAGCTTCTTTCTGAATGCTCATGGTTTAGGTTCCAAATCTTCTGCTCTCTCCTGGTATGAAAATGTCATGACCCTTAATAACCCGGCAAGACAGTCACTCAGCGATACCCTTCTCCTGTCTGCCCTGTCTAACGCAACTGAGGCCCTGCTTAAATATAAACAAAGATGGAAAGGCTGAGATATAGCTGAGATGAGAGCGAGGTATTACGTGTTAGGTTGAGGAAGTGAGTGGTGGAATAGGGAGAGTTTATCACCACTCCGGAGCAAATGGTGATGTATTATTGCTGGGAGCTGGTAGCCAAGAGACCTAAGATTACAAGGGAAAAGTTCAAAATGTGCATTATTACACTACCTGATAATTTGGAGCACTGAAGCTTTGGCTACAAAAATCCATCAGATCTGAAGCAAACTTCTAATTTTGAGAACTTTATGGTAATAGTAGCTGTGAGTCTTTTTCCCAGGACAGCTATGGCTGGTTCTAGGTGATGAGATCTTCCTCAAAAGAAGGTACAGCTTGAATTCTGTTCTCTTTGCTCCTTCAGGCTGCTGTTGTGGCAATATGCTGTGCAAGAGGAATACCTATCTGTGAAGGATGTGGCTGCTCTTTTTTACATACAGAAATTTCCAAGTTATTAGATTAGACTTGTTCCATAATACAAACTAGATCCCAGGTGATTTTTCCAAAGCAATTCATGTGTGTTAAATTTAGCAGTTCTAAAAAGCTTTGAGGCCTCTTGAAGAGAGCACTGTCCAAATGGTCTCAGTGGCAGAGGGATCCTTACTGGGGACATTAATCAGGTGGTTGAATATATTGATCTTTGATATGTAAAAAGGCTCTCCAAAGCTTTTGAAAAGCAACAGGGAATGAGGATTGTTTAAAGCTGACGTTAGCCCTTCAAGTTAAAGTGCAGCTTAGTCGATGAAGTCATGTGCTTCAGCTCATTCAGTGCTCTGGAGTACGCAACCTTGCCATATTTTTTAAAATGTCCTTCTTTGTAACAAAAGACACTGTACTGTCAGATTCTTGTAACTGCATAGAAGTCAAGTTCACTTTAGTCGAAGTGAAGAAATACACAGTTTTGGAAGGGAGTATGTTGCACTGAGACCAGAGGAAGTTTCTTTTCGTATTTACTGGTATGTCCAAATTCATGCGTGTAGCATAGGTATGAGGCTGCAGGTGGGCAGTTTCACAGACTGTGGTATCTGCCTCCAGACTACATGATCGACGTTTTGTCTTGACTGTTTAATGAGAATATGCTCAGAGAGCAGTAACACAGGGCAATGATTTTAGGCCCTGGTGTATTTACTTTCTCAGAATTACTTCAGTGTATGTTTTGACAGTGGTGAAATTTTCCAGCTGGCAATTCTATTTTCTGTCACAGAAAATTCTAATTACAGAAATTGGAAATAAAGTAAATGCTCTAGAAGTGTTTTGTAGACCCTGATAATCAGATGCTTCTGTAGCAGACTATGTAAATGAAATAGCTGATGTTTGTCTACTGGATTTGAAAAAACGTTACTATTGTTTACTGGTCGATGTAATGAAGTTTTATCATGAAAGGCTGATTGTACTTCGTTCAGTGTTCAGCAAAACTTTATTTGGTCTTATGATCAAATAGTGTTTCTCAAAGTTATTCATTCTGCCAGTGAGAATGGTGTTGTCTCTGAAGATATTTTTAGCATCTAGAGTTCAGGAAAGAACCAACTGAATATCATTATAGGGGGAAAAAATGTATATTGTAGAACTGTCTACAGGAAATGTGTTTGTTAATGCTATATTCTATGAACGGCAAACTGACCACTGCATCTTCTTAAATCAAATAGGTAGTAGAGTCTGATGAAACGTTAGAAGATGATGTACCAGATTCCCCTGGGGTGGAAAAACAAGACAAAGAAAAAGAGAAAGAGAATAAAGACTCTAAGAAACTTCGTTGTGAGTTGAAAATTTCCCATTAATTGATTTTAGCAATGCCAATTTTTATTTTTTGCATCTTCAGTATTATGTGTAAATAGAGAAGAATTCAAAAGGACAGTTAAAAATGAAACTACTCGAGTGTCGAAAAAAGGCTTTGATATAGTTCATTCTACATGTTGGTGCCAGTTAGTAAGTTTTCTTCCATGTTTGATTTATCATACTTTAAAAAAGGCAAAAAAAAAAAAAAGCACCAAAAGTCTTTAGCTCCTCCTGTATGACACATGAAAAATAGCAGAAAATAGGCAGTAGTAAAATGGATTATTTTCAAAATATTGTCAAATGTACAGAAGTAATTAGACGGTTTTTTTGCTCTGACTTTTATAAGTGTTTTTGTATAAGGATCCTTTTGTCCTTTTATGTGTTCAAAACTGATTAGAATTGGTTTACTTGTTTTTTGTCTGTGGTACAGCATCTGTAAATATTTGCACTATTAAATTAAATTGCGATTTCTCTAAGCTGCTAATGAGGTTATAGTGGCTCATTTAGAGAAACTAAACATTTTTAATTACACCTTCAAAATTTTAGACTAAAATTTCTCTTAGCCACAGAAATTTCTTGCTATGCACAGAAATATATTAATCAGGCAGACTATTTTCTGTCTTTTACTTCTGGGCCTTATATGTAATTTGCAAGAAAGTATTTATTTCTTTTAAAATCGTTAAATTAATGAAAGGCAGGACCAGTTTTGAAACATAACTATATTTTTTAAAATTCCACATCAATTACATATGTAAATTACCATTTAGTTAGTTTCACAGGCAAACTTGGTTTCACAAGTTTTTTGTGACAGGGTTGTCTCAGTGGTTTGAAAAATGGATGCTATTTACAAGGAGCTCCAAAAAGTTAAGGAAAAAAATTTGGATGCAATGCAAATTCGAATAGTTTTTTGATGTGGTTTTGAGCTTAAATTTTTTTATGTTGGTTCCTTGGCAGATAAATGCAGTGTTGGTTCTGTGGATATTCACATAGATGCATTTCTCTTTTCAGCAGTGAAAGCACCTAGCAATATAGATTCTACAGATCAGAAAAAGACCAAAACGAAGCTGAAGAAGTTTCTTACACGGCGCCCTACATTACAAGCTGTCCGTGAAAAAGGCTACATTAAGGGTAAATGAACCTTTTTAACAAAGGAAATAATTTGAAAAGCTGAATTTAGTAGTTCATGTGTAAAATGGGGTTAAAATTCTCTAGTCTTAGAGTAAAACACATCTATATAGCTGGTTTAACAAAAGTCTTGGATGTATAGTGGAACTGGTGATAGATTGTCATTCTTTTGAGCACTGCTACTAGCCACTGAACTTCACGGAGGATGTCCTCTCCTTCAGCTAATTACGGGCAAAACTGCAATGAAAATTGAGGCCCCAGGAGCCTGTTTGGGCTTGGAGTGCTTCTTAGGTAGAGAGTCCATTTGGGCTGCTGTTCTGAGCTGGAAACTTCAGATAGCTAATAATAATTTGTGCATACAAGGGAAAGAAAAGTCCTTTGGGTACAAAACTGAATGCATGTGCTCATCAGTTTCACAATGGTGTTTTAGTCTGGGTGGAACCAGACAATCATGTGCCATCTCATAAGAAATGAAATATTTAGGCAAACCAGGATGAGGCTAAAGGAGTCTTAAACATCTTTTTTCCCTAACCTTTTTTGAAGGTATAAATTTTTTTTTTTAGTTGTTCCACAAACAATGAGTCTTATAGATATTCTTGAATCAAACTTATGAAAGAATTGATTTCCGTTTGTCACACTTGTAGAAACTTTGAGAGAATAATATTTGCACAGGTTTAAGTTAATGTGTTTGTGTAAATTATTGACTTGGTACTCACTGTAAAACTTCATTTATTTATTTATTTGTATGCTTTAGCAGGACTTGTAGGTGGTGTTCTACTAGGGTCAAAATAGCATATGGGTAGGCAAATATCAGACCAAATCCTACTGTGATTTGCTTAACTACATACTTTAACAGGTGTGCTTCTGTTGCATGTGGCGTTTGATATATTTGTGTATCTGCAAATATAATTTAACTGTAAATGATGAATTTTTTGTTTGGGATAAGGAGGCATTATTCCCGGACTTTGACGTTTTGCTCTGCTTTACAGCTTAGTATTCATGTCATGACTCAGTGACATAACTTCTGACATTAGCAACAGTGAACGCTAAGCCAAGTTTAATTTGTACACATGCGTGCTGATGATTGGATTTTTAATAAAGATGTTAAGGAATGGAGAGTTTGTTTTTATTTAAAAGCATGGTGCAAAGTTTAAAAGTTGGATCTGCGCTGTACAGTTTTACGTTTACTGTATGAATGAAAAATACAGAAGTCTTTATTTAAAAGCCCAGTGTACTTTTGTGGCTGCTACGGAACAAGCTTAGTAAACGGAAAACTTGGCAAACCCAGTATGAGCAGAAAAAATAATGAAAAGTTCTAGAAAAAAACCACTTGAAACAGCATGCACTAAGCAGAGAAGTACCTGTGCTAAAGTTTTATAACATGGAAAAACAAAATTACAAAAGTTACTTTAAGATGAGAGGAAAAAGTATGATTCCTGTATGCGTGGAAATTATTAAAGCAGAGGCAATCGTAGCAAATCAGTTGGTTACGTGCTAGTATTTTCTTGTGCTACCTAATCCGCATTGCTTTACCTACTACAGCTGCATGCTAGCCTGGCTTTCTACTGCGTGGGCTTTTTCAATCCTTTGCTACTGATTCTGCTTATACAGCTGGCTGCGTGAGTAGCAGCAGCAGGACTGGGGTGTTTGGAGGCATTGGCCTTGTACGCATACAGCTAATATACCATTATATGCTAGTTTTCATACTGTATAATTGGTTTGGTGTGCTATTTGGGTTTCCCAAAGCAGTAGTCAGATGCAAGTGTTGTTAATGAATCTGCTTAAATTACTAAACATGAAAAATGGGCTAGATGCTATGCATGATGCAAATGTAAGAACAGTTTCTCTCTTGCATAAACTCTGAAGTAAGATCTACTAGATACTGCGAAAATGGCTACTTACATACCTTATTTAACAGATTAAAAAAAACCAAAAAAAAACCAAAAAACCCCCCAAAACCCAAAAAGACCACAAACTTTCTTTCCTTTAAGAGTGTGAGCTTTGCCTCTCTATCTCATAACACTATTTCAATCTTGTGATCTGAACAGGGGAGGTCATCTATTATTTGGGCATCTTTGATGAAAACCATAGAAATGGGTTTGAGAGATTTTGCTGATAACATAACCTGAACAAGAGGAGTTAACATGTTGCTGAAATACACTCAGACATTACAAGAATCTGCTCTCTGCCCAAGCTGATTTTCATTTTTGCTCCAGTTTATGGCAGAAAACACTCCTCCTGGATTGTGTAGTTTTGAAAACAAAACCTCAAGATACCTTTGCCCATGAATATCTATATTTAGATTCCAACCTTGCAGCCAGGTTGCCTATGCATAGTCATACTTGCATCCATTCAAAGCTGTGTGATATAAAGGTCTGTCATTTACAAATCCACGTCAGAACTGAAAAATGTTAAAAGTTAAAGACTCTACATTAAAGTAAATTAATACGTAATGCTGGGTTAAACAGTAGGTGCAATGAAAGATGAGATTTTACAGGGTTTTTCCCAAAGCACTGCCAAAAGCTTTCACTTTGGTTAAAGTTTATTATCTCTGTTCAGATTTTTAACAAAGATTACAGTAAATATATTCTGAACTCAGAAGAGGAATGGAGTGTAACAGGATATTTGAATCCATTACATTTCTCATTACAGTAATGACTATATGACTCTTACAAGTATCTCCTGATGGATTAAAACAATTTCAGTAGCAAAAGTTCCTTACTCAGAGACTCACGTTTGGGTAACTGCCGACGCTTTTTCCTACTGGGAGCTTTTTCTTGCTGGGAACTGCTGAGAGCTCTTTTCAAAACTTTGCTATTTTCACTCTAATACTGCGACAATTGTATCCAATAGTCTGCCCTTTGCAGAGGTTTGTTTTAACCTGAACTAGTTCTGTCACTTGAGTCCTGTTCCACTGTAAATCAGTCTCTTTACTTGGTTCCAGATCAAGTGTTTGGTTCCAATCTCACCAGCTTGTGTCAAAGAGAAAACAGCACGGTGCCAAAGTTCGTGAAGCTGTGCATTGAGCATGTTGAGGAACATGGTATGGTGAAAACTTTTTGTTTCCAAATCTCTCTTGCTCACCACGCTATCTAATTTTAAATGTTTTAATCGTTAAAATTCTGCAGAGTGCTTTGGGGAAGATGATCTGAAACCTGTATCTGTAGATAGCAATGAGTTTTCAAGAGTGGGGAGGTAGGTAGGATCCAAAATGGGGAGAGGGGATGAAATTTTATATCCGAGAAGTTGATCTGCTTCAGTGTCTTTCAAGCTGAGGAGAAGGCAGGCCAGCCTTCTGGCAGCAAGGCTCTAAGGAAAGAGGGATTACAAGTGATACAAGAGCTCAGCCCATCAACATTTTTTTCAGATTAAAAGAGAGACTGTCAAAATGTGGCTGTTCATTTTTGGAAGGTTTAAGCATGCTAACAAAATAATTTGCGTTAAAACTTCCTTGAAACAAAGTTCTAGGAAAAAGTTGTGTTCCTGTGCTGTATATGGTTTGACTGCCAGAAAACAACTCTTATCAGTTTGATGCCCTTCAGCCAGTTACACTGCTATGTGAAGTTGTATGCGATTCTGGAGATTGAGCCAATAGGTGGACACTGATAATTTTTGTCTGCTTTCATTGAAAATAAGTCTCTCCTACCTAATAACTGAGAAAATTATGTGTTTGAAAGCTACATGTGACATTCTGGGTTGTCTGATGTAAAGGACATTTTCACATTTTTTTTGAAAATATGTTGGTTGTGACTCCTGACATGGCTGTAGTCTGTACTGGTTTTCTTGCTTGTTTCTTGCTGTTGTCATTGCCCTATCTCTTGGAAAAGATGACTGAGAGGGGGTTATGGAATCTCCATAATCATCATTCAAATATATACCACTCTATTAATCTGAGAACGTTCTCTTGAGAATCAGGGTAAGTGTTACAGGGGAATACTACATGTGAAATTTAAGGCATTTTCCATGGGAACTTCATTTACGATTTTGTTGCAACCTGTAGTCCTTTCTCAATGCTGCTATCTTACAGCCTGGGAGGGAAAAAATAACTGCTTCCATTGCCTTACTCCAGTTCGACAAACTGCCGCCCTGCTTGTAATAGCAGGCTTTATTCTGTTCGTGATCTGCAGTTTTTGAGAAAGGGGTTATTTTGCTTTGCTCTTTTTTTTTTTTTTTTTTTTATTTCTTCTTTATTTTAAAGACAGGACTGCAGTGAAGATAGTGAAGTTTTCCTTTTTTAAATACCTGAGGGGAAGCTGACAGAAATGAACAGCTTTTTTTCCCCACTTCTCCAAACTCTTCTTCCTACTGCCAATCCACTTCAAATCAGTTCTTTCTGTAAAGGAATGACTAGTGGATTATGGGGAAAAGGGATATGTCAGATGGTGCTGGTAACTGTGCTGTGTTGCATCAGACAACTCCTTGAGGAGCTACAGGGAATGCAGGTATTCTGGCAACACTCACCCTCTCAGTGGCACTGACTCACATGCTGCATTCAAGTGGCGTTTCAGTTAAATTCTTTACCTCCTAATCACTTCTGAGTAACAGCAGTAGCAACCACAGAGACACAGTTTTTTTCTTTTCTGGTTGAGTGTGCAATACTGTAAAGGCAAGGGCTACCCATTTTAGTTTTGTAGGTTGTTGGGTAGTGATGAGTGTGCATGCACATCATTCCTTCTCCATGCAAACCTGGTCACTTGACAACTTTGAGATGCTCTCTATGCATGACTTGATTTGATTTTTTTTAACCATACATTAAAAACTTGAACATCCACAAAATACTTGGTTCTTGCATGTTGGACTCCCATATACCCTCTGGCCACCCACCAAGAGCATTTTAAACGAGACACCTAGTCTCATTGGGGAAACTTGGAGCTGTTGCCTCATTACTTCTGCTCTATTGTGTAGGAAGTTTTAGAGATTACTTTGAGCTTGATGCTACCAAAACTGTGTCAGCAAACTAAACCTCTGATATGCCCTGCCTATCAAAAAAGCTACTTTAACAACTTTTTGTTGTTGTTGTTGAACCAAGTGTTCTTTGTTACAAGGTGGCTTTCTTTTGTTTTTAATTTTGCTGAGTAGGCCTTCTGCCTTCTGCTTCTTTAAAGCAGCCTAATGATTTGCAGAATTCATACATATGTAAGGTATTAAAATGGATTTATCTCTTTGTTTTAGGATTAGATGTTGATGGCTTATACCGAGTTAGTGGCAATCTTGCAGTGATACAGAAGCTAAGATTTGCAGTCAATCATGGTAAGCTTCCTTCAATTATATTACAATTGCGTATATTTTCAGATTGTTGAAGTTCATAGAATGCTCAGGAAAAAGATTTTCGTAATGTATAACTGCAGTCTTTCATGACAAATGATTGTCATCTTCAAAGTAAAATTACTTCAAATTTGCAGAACTTAATGTGTAATATACATCATTTGAAAAACCTAGCATCCTGGAGGTTTGGTCTTGTGTGGAGCATAGAGGCATTGCTAGAACATAATTCTAAAGAAAGGTGGTAGTAGAATTTGAGGGGGGAGAACTATTTCAAACCAAATAACTTCATACCTTTTGGAAAAACAATAACCATATTAAGCTTCCATAGGCATTAAAATTGTAAGTTAATGCTTTTTAGTGAGATGTGCTACTACCTTTTAATACAGAGGTGCTTAGCTCCTCTTCGCCATACTCTGTGTATTGAAACCCTGTCATGTGGCTAAATCTTAGTGTTTTGTTCAGTGGGAATCAATAGGCAGCTTGCAACTAGAAAGAGGACAGTAGCCCATCTACAATCTGACCTCTCATTTCCTGATTGACAGGGTCTAACAGTAAATTTTGTGTTATGTCAGCAGCTCCTATTCCCCTCTGGAAAATGCCCTTGGTGTAAGGGAGCTGCATGTAGTGCAGTAGGCAGAGTTTGGCCATCTCCGTCTGTAGTGGTTGAGTTTTTGTATCCCCTTTTACACTGCTGCAGCTCTGTATCCCAGCAGAGAATGGGCTGAAGTGGATAAAAGCAGTAACTACAGAAGAGTAATTAAGTTTATTTTTTTAAAAAAAGCTTTTATAGTTAAATTATTAACATTAATTACTCATTTTTCTCTCTCAGATGAGAAACTAGACTTGAATGACAGTAAATGGGAAGATATACATGTCATCACAGGAGCTCTGAAGATGTTTTTCAGAGAATTGCCAGAGCCGCTGTTCACTTATAATCACTTCAATGACTTTGTCAATGCAATTAGTAAGTCTGAAAAACATGCCTGTGCTTTTTGTATAAGTTCTGCTCAATATGTACAAATAATTTAATTATTTTGGACAGTAAAAAGAACGTTTTGGTTATGAACATCTGTAAGGCTTACCTAAAATTGCCTGCCAGTAATGCACGGTCCGGTCAGGAGGTGGCAGTATTTTATCTAATATTAGCACTGCAAAATGTTTGCTTTTCTTCCCAGTCTGTTAAATTTTATGCTAAAGTTTTAAACAAAAATACTGAATTTTTTTTTTCTACACCTCATCCTTTTGCAGAACAAGAACCAAGGCAGCGTGTCCATGCTGTTAAAGATTTAATCAAACAGTTGCCAAAACCAAATCAGGACACTATGCAGGTCCTCTTTAGACACCTGAAAAGGTAAGTAGCAGATAGAAAGAAAGAAAGGCTTTGTACTGCTGATCCTCCCTTAAAGTTAAAAAACCCGATTAAAAGTACTAGGTGACTGTTCCCACTGCATTTTTCTTGCCTATATTGGACTTGATGAAAACAATGTATCAGTCTGTATACAAGCTTGCAGAGCACCAAATGGACTGTAGACAGTGTGTGTCATAGTTGTGATGTTTACTGGCAAGTCCTTATGTTAGAGGGGTTGTGAGAGGATCAGGAATAGCATTTCAAACCACAACTTTTCTGTAGAGAGGGGAATCACAGCAGCTGTATGTCCTAATAACACGCCTACTTACTAAATAAATATTGTGAATAGTAATTTGCTTTGGACTGTGTCTTCTTCCTGTCATCCCATTACTCTAACACTGATAAGTCTCTTTTTGTGTATTTTTTTTCTCTTTCAGAGTTGTAGAAAATGGAGAAAAGAACCGAATGACCTATCAAAGTGTAGCAATAGTTTTTGGTCCAACCTTATTAAAACCAGAGAAAGAGACTGGTAACATAGCAGTCCACACAGTATACCAGAATCAGATTGTAGAATTAATTCTACTAGAATTGAATTCCATCTTTGGACGCTGACATTTTTCTTGGAGTAGAAACTGGAAGTGATGGGTTGGCAGCAGTACTCCATCAGAAGGAAAATCTCTCACTGTACATGATGTATTATGTTTGTGGACCAAGCAGCAACTTGTTTTTTGCACTTTTGGGGAGGGGAGAAACAGGAGAAATGTTTGACCACTTTAATGCAAATTAAAGACAACACTTTGGATTTCTTTGAAAAGTTCAATGTGAAAAGTGAATTGAAAAGTTTATAGTTTGCCTTTTTTTAAGTAGCATTGGAAAAATGTAATATAGGTTCATACACTGGATTTCTTGGAGAGTGAAGCTATTAATCTCAAACTGGATAATCTGGAATTTAATCTTAAACTTTTTCCACTTGATAGGGAAAAGTCCTACCAACTGGTATGGAAAAATTCAGTGAAGTTACATCATAAGCTTGTGTATTACAACCTACTCGGATCTGTATGATGCTTTTCCAAGGGGTTTCTGCATGCCGTGACTGTCTTAAACTTGTGCTAACAGTTTGGTTTAGTTATTCAGGTCTAATTCCTCACTTGATACCTGCTGTCCTTTTTCCTTTTTTTCCCCCTTTTTCTTTTTTTTTTTGTTTTCTTTCTTTCCTTTTTTTTTTCCCCCAGCAACCTTTCTGGAACTTTTTAGTTGCTTTATAGAACAGCACACTATTTCAAACACTGAACTTGTAAGAATATCCAGCAACGGATATTTGTCTTGTGGCATAATAGAAGTCATATTTAATAAACACGTTCATTTTTTTTCCAGGGTATTTCCTGAGCTAAGTTTTGTGTTATACTGATTCAAAGCTAAAATCCTAAGTAAATACCAACTGTAACACTGTATTGAGTTCTTGATATAATGCTGTGGTAGTGGAAGTTTGATGTAAATACAGACTGTCCTTTTGATTCTTGTATATAATTCAGTTCCTGTATAGTTTAAGAACATTTTAGTCACACATTTCTAATCATGGGTAGACTAGCTACAGTAGCATAATGTTTCCAGTGGATGTCTGGGTTTCAGCAGGGAAACAGGTTATGGGGAGGGAGGGGGAACCTAACTGTGTGCACTTTTAGATGTTAATTACATTTGCGGGCAAATAACTGTAATGCAAATGGTACTGGAGAAATACTGAGTGTGCTTGCTAAATTGTTAATGCACTACAAGAGGAGCCTTTTAGGTTATTTAATATGTACAGGATACATTAGAAAAATGTATTATGAATTCTAACATCTACAAATAGTGAAACTCATGTTTTGATAGATAGATGTTTGATGGAATCCATGATGCTAAATTTAAGAATTTCTTTTTACATTAATGTAGAATAATTTGTAAAATTGGTTTTGAAAGATTTTGTTACAGGGAGCATGGTCTGCTGAAGATTTTTTTAAATGTATTTTTCTAGACTAACTGCTGTATCTGACATATTTGTTATGTCTAACCTGAATAAAGAAAACCGTTAGTTCTTTTGGAGTTTGCCATTCCCACTTCAGGCAACATGAACCCCTTTAAACAATAAGACTGGTGTATTTTACCACTTAGCATGGATACTACTTGTGGCAAAGACTTGTCATGCTGGATTAAAAGACGAATGCTTGCTTTATAACCTGACAATTTTAGGAACTTCCCAGTCCCTTTCTTTAACAATGTAAATTCTAACATAAGGTTCAGAGAGGGCAAAAGTAATTTGTGGATATAAATTTGCGGTCTTTAAAACTTACTTGGAACCTACTGTACAGAAAGCAGATACATTGGGGAAATAATTGTATTTCGCCTTTGATCTGTTGTATACCTTTCACAACACAGTTCTACCTTACAGCAAAGGGGATGTGTGGTGAAGTACGGAGGTGTAATCAGATGAATGGTACGAGAATTTCATGAGCATAGGGCTTGCATGTAAAGTCTTTGGAGATAAGAGAAGATGAGTTACCTTGTGGCTTTCTCAATGTCTTCTTGTGGTAATGGTGAAGTCTTGTGGTTTGTTGCAAAGCGACCTGGGTAAGAATTGTGATAGCTCCATCTCGGCGTTGTGTTGTCAGCCTCCTGCTGGGCTGTCACACCGGAGCAGTGCCGAGCTGCAGGTGTGCCCCAAGCTACTAGAAAATATCAACAAAGTTGAAATCTGTTGCTGTAGATTATTCAAATCCCAACTTCAGCTGTAAAATAGAAAAGAATTCCCACTGCTAAATGAGAGGGCTTATCCACAGGTCACCTTTTCTGCATGAGTGTTACGTTTATCAAAGAAAGAATGCCTTTTTAAAACAATTTGATAATGAGGATGTCACACTTTTCCTTGTATTCCCCCCAAATAAAGCATTTTGTTATTACAATATATAGTATGGTTTTGTGCAGTGAAGTTGTCATATGTTTTAATATTCTCATTTTTAGTTTGGAGAGGGGAGAATATTCTTTTTAATTGAAAGAGGTGTAGCTAAATACTCAAAACATTCAGGAAGAGGAGGCCGTCCAAGCTGACGGTATGCTTGTCGTGACCAACTTGAAATTCTGTATGTCAGCACATGGGGTTTCTTCACTGCTTGAAATATCTTGTCTTGTTCCTGCAGTTAGCTTTCTTTTAAAAAATCAAAACCAGATTTTTGTACAAACACAGTAGGGGAAAGCTATTTGTATTAGATGAATCATAACTAAATTTATATATTCCTCAGTTTGAGCTTTAAATCAGATTTGGTTCTGGTTTAAAACCAAGTTAAAGACTGAATATAAACTTGCAGCCATAACCACTCAAAGATACTGGACCTCTAGTACTATCTATCGGTGCCAGTTGAAATTTTGTTCCAGCACTAGAGCTGTGTTCAGCTCTATAGTTCAGCTACACAGCGTTAGTACCAAGCAACTCTCAGACGTGCTTGATCTATACCAGTTACGGGTTTCTTCACTTCAAAGCTGGAGAGAGAAGTGGACACAAAAAAGACAAGGCAAATATACAGAGTCATTTAATGTAAACTAATTTTTTAAAATCAGAGTTGCATGAAAATAAAGCTTCCTGCGTGCAAGTTGATAGGTCACGCTTACTGCCCAGGCCCAGACTTTCCTCCCCATCTTCACAGAAAGCCATGATAAATTTTCTTTGTACTGAACCCATTGTATCCTGGCAAGTGAATCCTCGACTTGCAGCGTGAGAGAGAAGGGAGTTTGTAGGTAATACAGTATCAGTTTATTCCTAGGTGGAGCCCTGACTTTTTCCCCTTAAAGGGAACAGCTTTATTTAGCTCCAAAGTAATGATATTTTCAGAATCAATTGGTTAATTCATAAGCCATAATGTAAACCAAGCACAGTGGGGCATTTATTCCACGATGTCTAATGAGGCCTTCTGCAACCGCCGGGGAGAGGAGAGCTCCTCTGAAGAATCTTAATTAGCCTTCACAATTGCAAAGTTTTGTGGGCAAGCAGCTGGTAGGACTGGATCAGACCTTTACAAAAGTAGCCCTATGTGATTGTGGGACTTAAATGAACATTCCCCCCTCCCCCTGCCCATAACATTCTTGTAAACAGAGCACTTGTAAAACAAGATCACACTGTGTAACAAACCAACATGAAAGACGTTCAGAGGCAACTTGGCCTCTTGGTCCTTCTTACTGCTGTGAGAATTAAATGGCAACTCTAATATTAGAGTTTCCTACAACTTCCCCAAATAGATTCGAGTTTGTTAAGGTACTTGGCTACCCCTTTCTTTCAAAAGAAGAAATCTCTGTTGCATTCAGCAAACTCAGAACTGTGAAGTGGAACGAGCAGCGATAACATCAGGTTTATTTCTCATAGAACCTCATCTTGCAGCTTACTGCACTAAAATGTAGTTGGCTCGGGAAAGGGAGAGCAGGTCCTTCGTGTAGATGCAAAACACTAAGGCAACCAGACAAAGCAGGTGTGATGGACAAGCAAGATAGCAAAGAAACAGTCACTTAGAAAATCTGCAGGAATCCAGGCCAGAGACCAGGGAGGAAGCCAGGCTGCCAAGAGTGTGGGTTTGGTTTTTTTTTTTCCTTCTCTCTTTTTCTTCTTTTTCCACTTCATACAATACAGATGAAGGCCTGGCTATGTTTTGTAAGGGTAAGTCGCTCTGTAAACAGGTGGAATTCAAGTGACATTGCAAAATGGCAGTGCCCACCTTTCTCGGGACTTTTCCAGAGCGGCTTCTATGCGTCAGCTCCTCAGCGATGAGCTTGTGTCCAGGTTCACTTGACACAAACACCTGAGCGCTAATGGGAGTCAAGAACTATGTTCCTTCAACATAATCATGAATGCACAACCAGCATCTGTGTGATACAAACATAAACTTGCTCTCAGTTTGGCAGCATTATTCTAGCGGTGCCGAGTGCCCCATCCAAGATCCAACCTTGTGGCACCAGATCCTGAAGAGCATGGGTAGCCCTGTCTGTTACAATCTCAGCACACCAGAAGAAAGAAGTGTATGAAGCTGAAAAGTGGGAGTATGCAGAAAAAAATAAAACCCCAAGCTAAACTATCTTCACAACCAGTTTAGATTTGCATGTATGGTACAAATCTGCTCAGAATAGTTTGTTACTTCATAGAGTGAAAGAAACAGCTGTCCTCTAAAAAAATAAATACTGTAATTAAAAGCTGTCATTTTTTCCCTCAGGCATTCAAAGATAAATGTTAAACATTGGTCGGCTTGTCTAGTTCATCATGTGCTGCAGCCAAAAGGCTGGAATCAAAGGACTGGTGGTGTGTTACCTGGCCGCCAATGTCCCAGCGCTCTCTGCCTTTTCTTTACCGAGAGGGTGATGCTGAGCTGGTGGTGGCTTGTTGGCTTTCTGCATGTGTGTGTCCTGCCTAGCTACTCGTTCCAGTAAAAGAGGTACCTAACCTAGAAACAGAACTGAAACCCACCTTTTTCCAAGAAAAGCTTTCTTATCAGCCTGGGCTGGGCAGCGCTTTGTCGGCAGGCACTTCTGCTGCACGATGCTGCCACCAAGCTCGCCTGCCTGCTGCAGGGATGCTCTCCCCCGGGACCGAGCGAGCGCATCTTCTGTTGGTGCTGGCCTTGGCAAGGCCCCTGCCAACACACATGTGTGACCTGCTCAACTTCACAGCTTTCTTCTGTGAAGAAAAACAGAGACATGGTTGTGCAAGAGGTAGAGCCTCTCCTCTGGCACTCCCTTAAAGCATTACATACAACGAAGGATGCCACCGTATTTCCCGCTATGGAATAGCTGTTTCATAGCTGAAGTGCTGTTCTCGCCGATACACTAGTCCTGCTCTAAGCTTTCTCTTTGAAGTTTTAAAGGTAAGACTTCTTTTCCTATTAA